ACCTAAGTCTATTAGCCAACAATGTTCAGTGTTACCTGGAGCTGAAGCATGATAAGCTAAGGCCCATGTACCTGAATGAGCAAATGCTGAGGTGGGAGGAGCTGATGTTGTGACTGGCTGAGATGATGATGCTGAATTACCAACCTCCTTTTCCAACTGAGTCAAGGCAGCTCGGACAACAGCTAGAGTGTCTAGTGGTGCTACTCTTGTGCCTGATGAGGTTGCACAATCAGTAGTAACAACTGTATTAGCATTCACCTTTTTGTTCTTGAGTTTTGCAGGAACTAGATGAGGATGTAGCTTCCAACAGGTTTCTTTGGTATGCTTAGGTTTCTTGCAATGTTCACATATTAGGTCCTTCTTATCTTTCTTCTTCATATCTCTCTCCTTGTCCCCCCCCAAACTTGGGTTTAGTTGCTGCCAAGGCTGATTCAAGTGGCAAATGCTGTAATATAACTTTCCTTCTACTTTCTTCACTGTGCACTAGAGAGTAAGCTTGTGACAGAGTCACACTATCTCTTGTTAGAAGCTGTTGTCTCAGAATGTCATACTCAGAATTCAGACCAGCTAGAAACTCAAATACCCTATTGGTTTCAACCTGCTTTTTGTAGGTTTGTGCATCCTTTTGGCTTTCCCACTCAATTGTTTCTAAGTGATCAATCTCATGCCACAAGGATTTCAAGGTGGAAAAATAAACCAAGACTGGCTTCTCTCCTTGCTTAAGGTTATTCACCTTATATTTTAGCTCATAGGCCCTAGCAACATTGAGGGGTTCATGATATCCCAAATTTCTTTAGCTGTTTTTGCCCATAAATAATTTCGGCTGATATGTGGTTTACACAACCATGTCATAACCAAATAGTTCTCTTGAACCCATTTGGTATATATTTGGTCCTCCTTGGCTGGTTCATTGAGATCTCCCAGTAAATAACTTAGCTTTCCTCTACCCCCAATAGTCATCATGGCTGATTGGGCCCACTCTAGGTAGTTTGACCCATYAAATTTTACAGTGGTAATCTGAAAACTGTTCTCAGGTATGCTACCAGCGCCACCAGCCCCCTAAATAGTTTTCCCCTTGGCTCTTAAACTCCATTCTTTGTCAAGAAAAGATTAACAAATGCCTTTTGTATCACTGAGACTGGGTAATTACACCCAGAATTTGCTATCAGCCGAACCTACTTTATCCTTCTAGGTCGGTAATCTACCCAAAAAAGATAACCTTCCAAGTACAACTAGAGTGCAGGGCTGAGAGTGCAAGGCTGAAACTAACTGCAGCCCTAGAATTGGCGACAGTCAAGAAACTAGAATCTTGAACCTAGAACCAGTCAAAGGTCAAGAAACAAGCCAAGAACATAACCAGTTCAGCCGCACCTCTTAAAGTAACCAAAAAACTATTCTTTTAATGTATCAAGAACAGTTCAAGAGGAAAAAAACTTTCAGTCGAACCTTTGAAATAACCAGACAAGGTAATCCTTTTAATAGAAAGATTGACTTACTTCAGCAAAACTCTGGCCGCAACCTTCAAAGACAAGTCTGAACCCTAATCTTGAGGGTTCTTCCTTCTGACTCTTCCTGATTGCTGGTCATCCTCTGATGCTTCACCAACAATCTCCAAGACTCAGCCAATGATCCTTTTTGCTGGAAATTTTCCAACCCTAGGAAATTCTTTTGCAGCTGGCCATGTCAGACTATCATAAGATTTCCTAGGTTGGTTCTGATACCATGTAGCCGTATGAGACTACAAACAGCCCAAGCTGTGGTGTATAATCAACAGGAAATTAAGAGGATGAGAGGAGAGAATGAGAGGAGAAAGAGAAAAGAAGAGAAGAAGATTTCGAAGGAAGGATTTCAGAAAAGAAGAGGATGCTTAATCTGCCACCCCCCTCTTTCTATTTATATTAATTCTAAAGGATAAGACTGCTTACCCAACAATTGAAGTCCTAATAAAAGACTAAAGTCCTAATAAAAGAGTAACAACTAATTGTGGACTGACACTTAAATAACTAGTAGTTGTATATGAGTACAATAGAAAGAGGTGGGGACCACATAGTAGTTGTATACGAGTACAATAGAAAGAGGTGGGGACCACATCAGTGGTTTCTACAAAGTCCAATGAATTGGGAATTGATAGATTGATTATTGAAGGGGATTCTATTCATCAAAAAAAAAAATTATTGAAGGGGGTAGTTGTGGGATGGTTGGAAAAAGGAGAAAGGGTGATTTGGCAGCTAATGAATGATTTCAGAAGATTTCTGTGGCTGTCAAAAGACATGAACCTTCAAGTGTGTTGGGTTAGAAAATTTGCAAATAGTTTGGCAGATAATTTAGCTAAGTGAGGGGTTTAAAGTCAGTTTATGTATTTGGGAACAACTGTAATATGGGTTGGGTGACTTGCCCTATATTGGGCATGCTTCTTGTTCACAACTCCTTGTTGTATACAAGGCAAAATGGTTGGGCTTACTAGTTATATGATTTGAGGCCCCCGAGCTAATAATCTGTGGAGTCTTAGCGAGAAGAGATGACACATGGAAAGCAACTTGGCTACCTGATGTATACACAAATGAAGTGGATGGAGTGATGATAGACTCCTCTAACCGGCAAAACACCCTATGATATTTTGCTCAATTTGATCTTTGACAACAGAGAAATCCCTCATGGCATAAAGAAGCTCTTCCTGGGATACATAACCAACTGGGTGCTCATGAACGCTAACTGGAATAGTAGAACTAGATTCAGACTCTTGAGAAACAACATTGACATTGTTTCTGGCTTCTTCTGGAACTGGAACTTCTTCAGGTTTCCCAATCAAATCCCAACATGTCTCCTTAGTATGTTGAGGTCGATGGCAATGTTACACCATAACTTATCTTTATTTAGCACATCAGTCCTCTTGGCACCATCGACCTTTCTACCTTCACTTCCATTCCTCTTGACTACTAGGACAATCTTCTCCCCCTGCACAGGATTCATGGTTGACTTCCTAGTTTCCTCTGATTGGATAAGAGAATATATACTTCATGTATGCTGGGCAGATCCTTGCACCCCGGAATCTGCACACGAATAGGTTCATATGATGGATGGAGGCCATGAAGGAAAGCAAGCACCCTCTGCATATTAACAAGAGCCTTATAAGCTTTAGCAAATCACTCTTCCAATCAATCTGCTGATAATGATCTAATTCCTTCCACACAAGTCAAATCAGAGTAAATTGAGTAATAAGTAGGTAAACTCCCATCACCTTGTTTACACGATGGATTCAGCCAACTGAGGTCAATCTTAAGCTGTCCAAAGATGATGGCGAACTTCTAGATGCTACTTTATATCAACAACTTGTGGGCAGCCTTATTTATCTTACCATGATGCATCCTGATATCCCCTATGCTATTCAAGTGGTTAGCCAGTTTGTCTCTTCTCCCTGTCAACCACACATGTCAATTGTTCTTCGCATTATCAGATACCTTTGAGGTACTCTTATCTCATGGATTATTTTTCTTATCATCATCATCAATAGACTTAACTGCCTATTATTGATGCTGATTGGGTGGGATGCCCAGACACAAGAAGGTTCACAACTGGGTGGTGTGTTTTCTTGGGGGATTCTCTTGTTTCCTGGATGTGTAAGAAGCAACAAATAGTATCCAAATATTCTACTAAAGCAAAATATCGTGCTATGTCATCTGCGTCCAGTGAGATTATATGGTTGAAGGTTTTTTTTTTTTTTTTTTTATGAGTAATAGTAAAATTTTATTAATTCAGAACCTGATTTAGAATTGTAATTTTGTACAACATCCCCTAAACAAGGGGCAGAAAGGGATTCACTGTTTTGGGCTAAGCTGTAACTTTAGTGTTTTTTTCATTTTTTTCCTTTTCTTGAGGTTCTTTGTTGCTCTTGGAAGATAAGTGTGTTTGTCTTCCTCTTGTAAATCTTCTATTGATGATTTAATGAAAGTGTTATTGATAAAAAAAATATATATATATTTGTACAACATTCCATGGAGAGGCGCGAGCTGCAGCCCCTCCTAGAAGCTTACAAGTACAGTAAAATAAATTACAGAAATCACAGTTGAGCCCAAAACAATTCTTCCCTATTTACCCCTTACTTGGCTAACATATCAGCCATAGCAATTGCTAATCTCCCCAACCACTACATAGGTTCTTCTTCATGATTTACATATTCCAACATCTAATCGTGTTCCCATCTATGCTGATAATGCAAGTGCAATCAAGATAACCTCAACTAATATGTTTCATGAACATACAAAGCATATTGAGGTTGATTGCCACTTCACTCAAGATCAGTTCCTAGCAGGCCATATCTCTCTTCCTCACATCTCCTCTGGTCTTTACAAAGGCTATAATTCATCCTTTCCACAACTTTTTAACTGACAAACAGATGCTTCTTCCTCGGCATCAGTGTGAGGGGGGATGCAGAGATTATAAGGGCTGATCTCTTGTTTGGAAGTATCTTTTTATCATGTATCCTATGTATTGTATCATTGTACATTGTTCTATTTGTTCTTTTAATCTTTCTTGTACTTGAGAAGGGTATAATATCCCTTTCTCATCTTTTGTATCTCATTAGTATATAATACAACTTGCTTGGGCGTGTAAGACATTAGACACACCCTTTCAAATTGTTTCTCTCCAGAACTTGTCTCTGATATGAGGAAGTGAAATATATCTAAACTTTTACCTCCAAAGGAGTAAATGAAGAGGAATATCATATGAATATTGCCTTGGTTAGGAGACAATATTTGATGTTACAGGGTGTTATGGATTTGCTTTCTTGGCCCAAAGGGAAATTGAGGTTCATAAATATCTTGGTCTTGTTTTACCCCTCAATCAAACCTGTTTGGTTTTGCATGCAGTTGCAACTAACGGATCTTTCTATTTTAGATATGTAATATGAAAGCAGTGTTCATTAGTCTAGGATGTCTGTGTTCCTAGTATAGACATTGCCATCTAATGATTAATTTCAATCATGTTTTTCTACTTTACAGTTATCCTTTGAACGATGCTGCAGAAACAGTCAATGAAATTGGATCTTCTATGAGAAAAGTAATGGGAGGGACAAGTGGGATCATGTACTCGATTTGCCTTAACCCATAATTTAGCTTCAATATCTATTTGCTAGATGTTAGGTTCTTCAATTTTAGTTGGTTTTAATTTCTCCATCATTTGCTCTATGTACAGATATGATATATTCTGTAAAGCAGCATATACGAAGTTGAAAGAAAGCAGTTCATCATTGATGACAGCCAAACAATGTGAGAAGATGCTTTTGATGTAGTTACTGTCACTGATTATGAAATACTTAACATCTCTCCTTCTCCAGGGGCTGATGCACTGGAAGCATCCATTGCTGCTGTCAGTAAATATGGAGGAGCTAGTGCAGGTTATCGAACATTGTTGGATGCCCTTATTCCAGCATCAAAAGTTCTGCAAGAGGTAAGTTCTTGCCTTTGCTTGTCTGTCTGATCCATTATTGAGTTTATAGTTTATACCAATAATCTTTCTTCGCCAGCAGAGATTAAATGCTGGAGATGATTCTATCACTGCTTTTGTTCTCTCATCGGAAGCAGCACAAAATGGTGCAGAGTCTACCATTCACATGCAGGCACAGGTCAGTCTCCACTGAGAACCTTTTCTTTCTTTGGTTGTCTTATATATAGAAGGATGCTAATTGTACTCAAAGGTTCAAAATATCGATACGCCCGTGTATTGGCAGGGGCATATCAGTACTTAAAATAACATGCTTTTATATATATATTTTTTTTAGTTTTTTTATTCAAAATTTGGTTTTTAGGCATATTTTTAACCATATTTTTTATTAAAAAAAAAGAGTGGTTGTCAAAACCCGTTTAAATAGGCACATTGTGAAATTTTGAACCTTGATTGTACTCTTACAAGTTGCTTTTCATGTATCCATCACAAGAGTGTTGCCTTTATATATCAACGTGGTTTGGTAATATTAACAAAAGGTTGTGGTGAGACCACATCTTTGGTTCTACTTGGGGTGGTAGGACTAACATTCCTTGTTATCTATCACCGTGTTACAAGGTTCTTCTTAGGCTTGTACCACATGTTCTGTTGTCTCTCGACCTTTGTTATTTGTATATGATGATCATCATCATTATCCAAGCCTTATCCAACTAGATGAAATCCTGTTTCACCATTCCACTCTGTTTAATGCCATATCCATTGTTAAATTATTGACACTTAAAATGATTTTGGTTCTTCCCTAGCCGTTTTAGCCCCCTCCATTCTTTGAGTAAATTGTTTCAAAAACAATATATGTGCATTTCTTTTATGTCTCTGTATAGATCAATTGTATATGATCGGAAATCTGAATGCTGCATTTCTGTAGGCTGGTCGTTCCTCCTATGTCCCTGTAGAGATTCTTGCATCAGTTCCAGACCCAGGAGCCATGGCTGCCGCGGCCTGGTATAGAGCAGCAGCCTTAGCCGTCAAGCAGAAGTTACAAGCTTCATGAGCAGTGTAGCTGCTGTATATCTTCCTGCCATATACTACCTACCCTGCTGCTGCCACCAAGTAAACCAAAGAAATTTTGCACAAATTTTTACGTGACCGTCTATTACTCATAGGCTTTCCGCATATGCAGTTCTGCATAAAGCTGAGAGAGCGAGTTTCTTCTTTTCTACATTACGTTACCATGAAATGCCTAGAAAGAATTTATTAGGTTGGTTATTAAAAAGAAAAAAAGAAAAAACCGATCACATCAACCCATCCTCGTGATTTGGGCCGTTGTTTAGTAGCTTCCATTTGTTATAGGCCAAATCTTGAAGCTGGGGACAATTGACTCTTACAAGGTTACGGGAGTGTTTTATCTATTGCCATAAAATTGAATAATGCTGGTTTTCCAATCATGATTTGAATAATGCTGGTACAAACGCGTTTTGCTGTCAGTGGGTCTGATATGTGAACTAGTCCCGAGCCCATGGCTCGGTTCTGTTACCCACTACTTGTTCCCACAGGACATAACAGTTGTGCATTGGGAATATCTCCCTTTTCATCATTCAGGGAGTGACGTATTGTCTCGTATCAGCTGATACGTATAGTTTTGGGACCCTTTCGATGCGCTCTGGGTGTATCAGGGGTTTGACCGGTTCAAGGGGTAGAGGAGATTTAAACCGGCCCCCCTGAACCAGTTTCAGAAAAAAATAAATAAAAACTGAAAAAAAAAACTATCGATTCGCCCGATACACCCATATCGATATTTTGAACCTTGCTGGGTGCTGAGCTATATCCTAAAGTCTAAAGATTGTGATGATCTAGAGTAAACCCAATTATTAATTAATCTAGTGAGAACAAGGCGTGCAGACCTTTCCTCTTTGCTGATTACCAAGTGTTGTAAACCCACTGCAGTGGGTTCTTTCGTTGCCAAGAAAACAAAAAACCTCCTACCATATATATATATATCGGCAGCAATCAGGTCGGCTTCAATTTGGATTGTATTTAGGGATGCAATGGAATCGAGTTCTAATTGAATAGTTCCGGATCGAGTTTGATTAGGCTTGGTTCAATTTGATTCTAATTGAATTCAAATCAAGCTTGAATGTCAAGGTAAGCTCGATTAGTTATTCAAATTTGAGTTTGACTAATAAAAAGTTTGGGTCAAAAAAAAAAATATATATATATATATATATATATATATATATATATATATATGTTATAAAAATGCATTCATTTTTGAACTTTCAAGCTAAACTCAAGTTCATTGAATACTCCATCAAATTGAGCTTGAATCGAAAAAATAAAGTTTAAAACGAACTTGAACTCAAGTTTGAACTTAGTGGTATTTTAGTCAAATCAAGCCAAAGACATGGAAAAGTTTGGCTTGACTTGGTTCAATTTCACCCTTAATTGTAATTAGTAGGGCCAAGGTTCAAAATATCGTTACGTATCGGCCCATGTCGGTCAATATGTATCATATCGGGACCTTCCTGATAATGCCCCTATAGGGGTGTATTGGGTCAGACCATGGTTCAGAGGGTAGTCGGGACTTCAACCGACCCCTCTGAACCGGTTTTGAAAAAATTAAATAAAACATAATAAAGCACTGATACAAGCCGATACGCTGGTATCAATATTTAAAACCTTGATTAGGGCCATTTAGTAAGACACCCCATACCATATTAACAAAAACACCCCTGTTGTTTGCCTATTCGTATTATTAAGAATCCCCTTGGTTTGCATTTGGTTTTCTATCAAGAACCATTTCTTTGTTCATTTGAAAAAGGTCACTTGACTATTAAAATATTGAAAGGGAAAGGGCCCATAGATTTTCAATCCAAAAATTCCCCAAGTCTACCCATCTCTCTCTCCCCCATCCTTGGACAAGAAACAAACTAGTTAGTCGCCCTCCTCCCTAGTATTTCTCTCTTTTCTCTCTACCTTTGTTTTCTTATACCTTTTTGTTCTCTGCTTTCTCTTTCTTGCAGCCAAAACAAGGGTGAACCAACTCATCATTGGTCATCTCCTTCTTCGACACTTCCTTTTTTTTCTCCTCTTAGGTTTCTTTATAGATTCCATTATAGATGTTGTTTAGGAGGTTAGTTCACTCACCATTAACCCAGAACTTTCATTCCACAATCATCAATCACCCAAATGTAGGGGGCTTAGTTGGGCGTCATTCGCAGTTCCAAACTTCACTATATTTGCTCACTCACATATCCAAACAAATTGTACTCCAAGTATGCTCACTTCTTCCCATAATTCTTCGCTTGTTCACTTCATTGTTTCTCAATGCTCAACATTTTTGCCCCTTTCTCCAAGATTGAAACCAAGTCAAACCTGACTTGTTCTGGTTTTATTTGTCTCACAACAAACTCTTGATGATGGCTGATGGCAACATCAGGGGTGCATCTACCACCCCATCCCAATCTTTGTTATGATGTTGCATCGACAATAGAGGATAACATCTTAACTGTGAGGCACACCAACCATTTGTTCTTCTTTGATTTATGTATTCATAATTTCATATACTCCCAGTGACATGCAATGCACGGGTTACTTTTTAAAAATGTATTTTTAAGAGGAAAAAATGAAGTGGTAGTGATTCACCAAAGTTTTTATGTGTTTCTAGTTCTTTACATAATAAATAGTAGAAAAAAAATAATTTATCTTTTCCTTTTTAGTTATTGAGCTTCAAACTAACTGATGGTGGCTTTAGTTGATAGATTCTTTGGCTAGTTGTCAATTATCATAGACTCATAGTAAAGACCTGAATCAAATCCTACTGCCACCAACGTTGGGGGTTAAGAAAATTGGTTCACCCCATGTATTGGTGGGCAAATTTGGGTTTTGACATTAGTTTGGGTTAAAGCTAGGGTTCATATTTATGTTGGCCCTTAACCTAACCCAATCCATCTAATTAGCACCTTTATTTTATTAGGTAGAGCCAAAAGAGATTTAAGAGGAAAGAGGGATTTAATGGAGAGGCAAGATGTTACAAACATTGACTATTAAGGGGTGTGTGTGTGTGTGTGTGTGTGTGAGAGAGAGAGAGAGAGAGAGAAGAAATGTTCAAAGTATCGGAAACGCAAGGGGTATCGGAAACGCAATTTTAAGAAACGTATCGGGATACGTTTTAGATACGCATAGATACGAACGAAAAATCAAGATACACATAAATATGATAGAAAATTCAAATAAATTGTAAAAAATATATTAGTAATAATATTTACAAGTTTTATATGATTGTAAATAAGTCATTTAAATGTAAAAAACATATTTTAATGTTTATATAAAATGTGACATATCAAGATATAATTAGTAACCGTTGAAAAATAATGGAATAACTAAAATGTGAATATATATACATCAATTTTCAAATAACCAATATAACTTATCTTAATATCTATTAGTATATAGATTTTAATAATTAATTTCAGCATTTATTAATAATCACTACTAAGAAAAGATAAAATTTATTTAAAACTAAAAATGTATATAATTATAACAAGCAAATTGGAGTGGCATAGTGGTGAAGTTATGGGTGTTAAAATTTAGTGACTAAGGTTCTTCAAGTCTTGCTAATGTTAACATTTGTAGTTTTTATACTAACGAAGCCAAATTAATGAGAGAGAGGGTCATTAATTAATTGAATTAATGAAAGAATTGGAATTAGGCGCTAAAATTCAAATTTGTCTTAAACATAGGACTAATTAACTAATTAATGAAGGAGAAGTTAGACATAAATATAGGAGTAACAAATGACATTAATGAGAGAGATTTGGTATTAAATATAAATTAACCAAATTAATGGAAGAAGGGGAATCGAAAGGATTCGGTTCCCCTTCTTCCACTTATTATTTGTTACACTTATTATTGTTCATTAATATAGAGATATGTCCAGATGTTTTCTACATAATTTATATATTTTTTGTATATTTTTGTGATTTTATCTTTTTAAAATTTTATTGTTTAATTATAACTTCACAAGTTTACACATTTGACTTGAAAATGTTGAACTGATCTACCATCAAACAAGAAAGCAATTTCACTTTTGGTTAGTTTTAAATTTTGTATTTTATTTATATCATGTCTAATTTTTAATATGGTTAGTATAAAATATTAGAGATGTGTCAAAATCTATCTTTTTCATATTTTTTGTATTTTTATCTTCTTAATTCTTATTATTTGATTATGAAATCAATGGTTGATTAATTGTGACCCAAAAAGTTGAACTGTTGACCCGCCACTATGAAAACAATTTCATTAGGTTGGTTTTAAATTTTATTTTTATTTCCAACATCAATAAAACAACTATTATTTATCACATTTATTTTTATTTAATATGATTAATGTAAAAATATTAGATAGGTGCCTAAGAGTTATTCACAATTTTTTTTATTATTACATAATGTTTTTGTATGTCTTTATATTTTTCAATTTTTATTTAATTGTGATATCAAGGGTTGACAGATTTGACTCAAAAAGTTTAAATGTTGACCCACCACCACAAAAATAATTTTTTTTGGATTGGTTTTAAATTTATATTTCATTCCAACATCAATAAGAATAATTATTATTTATCACACTTATTTTTCTTTAATATTAATATATATATATATATATATAACATTAGAGATGTGCCCAAATTTCCTATATATGTTATATATTTATATTTTAAATGTTTTTATTTAATTATGACATCATGGATCAATCCACTTGACCTTGATGGTTGAATTGCTTACCACCATGATGGAAAAACGATTCCATTTTTTAGTAAACTTAAAAAACATGTATTTTATATCATTAAAAGTATTGGATGTAGATTTAATTGATAGAATTTAATGGTTTTTATTTTGTGAAAATAATAAGTTAAATATAGGATTCAATAAAATAATGGGAGTTAATACCCAAAGATAAGACTTAATGAGAGGGAATTGAATGAGGAGCAATGTAATAGTTCAAATTATATTTTGTACCTTCACAATTAGAGAGGGACCAATTTCAAGAATCGGGGTAATTTAATCAAACAAAAGTTCCACACCACTATTCACACTTTAAAAAATAGTTTAAATAAGTAATTTATGTCTTTTTATCAAATAAGCACTAAATGAAGATGTAAAATAACAATTTTTCCTTTATTTGTTTTTCGATTCAAACTTTACTGAGGGGGCATTTGTTGTCCAATGAAAATTTCAGAAGCCAATGACACCTATTCACACTTTTATAGACAGTATAGATATAGATATATTAGATGCTATCATCTTCTTTATGTTCAATCAAGGGTTTCAAGTATCAGCCATCTTCCTCTTCAATCAAGAGTTTTGAGGGACTGCCACCTAGACCCTATTCACGGGTCAGGCTTTGGGTTAGGACCATTAGAATTTGGGCAAAAGCCAAGCCTGAGCCTGGC